ATATATATATATTATGTATTTTTCAGGTCGAATTTGATTATAGTTTGAATTATATATATTTTTCTTTATCTGGCAGAAGCAATATATAGTTTGAATTAATCTAGTGTGCCGGAGGGGGGGTTTACCCCCTCTCACAAAAAGCGCGACCCCCACATGTATTTAAAAATTCCGGCTTGTGGTCCCCACCCCCTAATGTGAGTGGGGTGTAAAAGATTTGGTAAAAAAATTCGGTAAGTGTAGCACAACCCATATAGTTTTACCCAAAGTATCTTATTTCAACAAATAACAAACGTCTTATTCAAAATATTTCACGTACAAAAACCTAAGCTAAAAATATTTAATTTAATGGAAAATGAGAAAGTATAAAATATACAATATTACATAAAAATCTATAGTTTTAAATAATTAAATTAGCGTCCTTGATGTGTCCAATCATTTTGAAAAAGCAAGTGCCGGAGTGTGCTATCGTGGTGTGTGACTGGTATCCGTGCTTGTTCACTTCCAAGATACATAACAAGTTTTGACACCAGACAAAAATTAAATAAAATTTTTATTACCTAAATTAACTTCAAGAGCAGAAATCATATGGTATAAGCCAAAAGGGAAACCATAAAGGCGCCATATGGCATAAGCAATCCCAAATTACCTACATTATCAACATCATCTATTATAGCTCAAGCAAACCATAATGTGGAAAAAAAAAAAAAACTTACAAAATAGGAGTAATTCATTTTCCACTCATATTTTGGCATGCTCATAAAAAAGCAAGGACACTAGTCAACCACTTAAAAAAAAACTAATAAAATAGGAGTTTTTCATTTAAAAAAAACTAATTTTGGTGTGCTCATAAAACAGTCAAACAGTCAAAAAATTCAACCATGAAAAATGAAGTGAAAAGTTAAGCTACAAACCTCAGAGCCTCAAAGGTTAATGAGACTTCTTCATCATTGCTTGTTGTGGAAGTGCTATAGCTTATAGGCTTAACAATCTGAGTGATGTTGCACATTTCTTTGGAGTTGTCAAATTTATTCTTGCAGTCCCGATCATTCCCCATAAACGCATGAGTTTGAAAATCTTTCTGTTCTGCCATAACACAAGTAGAAATTGCATTTTGTGTATCGTCCCTGCTGCATAATGCTAAATCTTGCTTGAACCTCTTGACTGGAAAAGATTTCCTCTTTTTAGCTCCAATGCAGCGGCCAGATTGAACTGGATCCACAACATCAGATTTAGGCAACCCATTCGCAAGGACATTTCCTCCTGTAACTAAGCCTTCTTGGGAATGATGAACACCGAACTTATTTGCATTCTCTTCACTAACCATTATTGATTCCTTTAGTTCACAAAGCTTCAGATTCAACTCATTTTGCTCATTACTTTCTCCCCTTGTAGCAGACACCATCTTAACAGCATGCTCGTTTACTTTTTTGCACATCTCAATTCCGTTCACACTGCAGACATCAGTTTTCCCTTTGCCATTCCTAACATTTAAGTTATTTAGATGAGGATAGTTCATAGGGTCCTCCACAATCCTGACCCTGTGCGAGGGCACATCATACGTAACAGCTACAAGAGGTTGCTGCTGCTGTTTTTTCTTCACCTGAGCATGAGTGATCCCGTGCTTGCGTTTTCGCCCACGTGCCGACCTACTTTTACCTGTCATCAAACTTCAAAATACAACAAAACCAAAAAATAATCCCAAGAAGAAAAAAGGTAAGTCACAATTAAGTATTACCGAATTATAGAACTATCATCCTAATTATTCCATATCTATTACAAACTGTGAATAGAAGGTTATCAAAATAGAAATAAAATCTACCTCTCTTCAAAAGCATCAATAACATCGGAACATTGCAATAGATTCTTTAGAGGCTCCCATGTATTCTCGGCCTCTGGCCAGCCTCGCCTTTCCAAAACAATCCATTCCATTGATCAACACAAAAATTCCCAAAACACGTGCATTCATATACATGTGTAAAATGTATCTAAATCTCTCACCATTTTATGAGGTACTGCACCTGGCCCTTCAATTTTCGCATTCCAGAAAACCCCCAAATCATCAAACAGACACAAAATTAGCTAAAAAAAGGAAGAAATTCACTAAACCTACCAGTGCTAAAACCTCCATTTCATTTCTTTTAGAACCTCTCTTATAAACAGAAAATTAACAAACAAAAGATAATCTGGAAAAAAATTCCATCTTCTGTAAACCCATAAAAAGTGGAGAAATGACGGACCTTTCGGACTCGCTTTCTGCGTACGGCCTCGATCTCATAGTACCCCTCAGCAAGCTTCAAGCGCTCGGCCTCAGCCTCAGCCCCCGCCTCAGGCTCTTCGATTTGCAGGTTTTCGAAGTGATCATAGTCTTTTTCAGTCTCGGAGTCTTCATCTTCGTCTCCATCGTTTTCTTCTTCCAAAGTCCACTCCGTGTCTTCAAAATGCTCAGTTTCCTCTGGTTGCACCTCCTCCGCACCTCCTACACCGTCATCACCATTCACGGTGGCGGTATGGTTCGAGGGTGATGGAAGGTGAGGTTGTACGGACTCCGTACTGAGTTTCTTTTTCCCTCCTTTCATTCTCTATCTCTACTAGTCGATTCTTTCTTGTTTTTGCAGTGTGCGCGTCCTTACCCTTAAGGGGTAGATACTCTATTTCTTCTTTGTCAGGACAGATCCTCGGAAGTGGCGAATTCTTGTTGTTTACTGCGTTTTCTACGGGAATTTAAAGGCCATGTTTGACAAAACTCTGGCAGAAATCCAACCCCACAGGCTACGGCAATTCGGCATAGTAATTGATTCTATTTCTTTTTGGAGAAATTATATATTTACGATTTAACTTGTTAGCTTTTTTGTAGCGATTATCAATTGAATTGTTTAAGGATTTAAGTTCGACTAGAAATTGTCACTTCTTGACATCAAAGTTTGCACCACTGAAGTGTTTTTTTTTTTTT